TGTGGGGTATTGTGAAGAAGAAGCTGAAAGACACCAGACCCAACAATGCTAATGAGCTAAAGGCCGCTATTGAAGCATCCTGGGCATCCATAACACCTCAGCAATGCCACAGGCTGATTGCCTCCATGCCACGCCGCATTGATGCAGTAATCCGTGCAAAAGGATTCCCAACCAAGTACTGAGTGCATTAATGGACATTTTCAAATGTTTGATTGTGTTTTGCTGTTATAAATCTTTTTTTTTTACTTGGTCTGAGGAACTATTCTAATTTTTTGAGATAGGATTTTTGAGTTTTCTTAAGCTGTATGCCATAATCAGCAATATTAAAATAATAAAAGGCTTGCAATATTTCAGTTGATTTGTAATGAATCCAGAATGTATGACATTTTTGTTTTTTTAATTGCATTACAGAAAATAAAGAACTTTATCACAATATTCTAATTTTCTGAGACAGTCCTGTACACTCACAAAAAGCTAAATGTGGTGTGTGGGGGGGTTGGCAGAAGTTCCTCACCTGGTCTGACCCTTGACCTCAGTCAGGTCACCTACACCCACGGTGCAACACACACCTGTGTCGAGGTCCCAGCTGACCTGCAGGTTGGAATGATACGTGTTTGGCCTGGAAACAAAAACAAGAAAAAGTAGACTTTAGTGGGACGAGAATAATTAGCAGGGCTGAAGAGGGCTTTGGGTTTATCTAAGACACGTACCTGCAGTGCTCCTCGTCCACGTTGGAGAAGGCCAGTAACAGCAGACCAATGTTGATCATCACAGTGTTGGTTTCAGGACACACCTGAGACCCATCATACACCCATTATCTCCAGGTCAAATACTAAATGTTCTTCCCCATTTTTTTGTCCCAGCTCAAACAGGAGAACTAGAAACAATCCATCTACTAGGGCTGAACAATGACATTCAAATTTGCATGCTACGCTGTTGTTTTTTTTCAATTCAATGTGTTTACCCTGGTATTTATGTAGTTGTTGTTTGTGTACTGACCTCTAACATCACAACATCGTAGTCGCTGAATGAGCAGAACTGAGGGGCCCAGGCAGCATCGCTCCTGATCACCTCATTGATGAGATACTCAAAGTCTAAAGTCAGCTGCTCCACGCACACACTCTGCAGGAGATATAAAACAGGTTCAATGCACCTGATTATTGACTCTAGATTCCAGGTAACATGTGTATCCCAGTGTTTCTGAATCAGCCACAGATATACAAACACGCACCTGTCCATTGTGTGGCCCGGTGACCAGCTGCAGGTTCCGTCCCTTCAGGTCAGTGACTGTGAAAGGCAGCTGAACTTTATCGTCTACATAACCTTGGGAGACGGAAACAGAGAAGAAGAATGTGGGTCAGCAGCTTCAGACATTTTTCACTCATTCTTCATCTGTGTGTCCTCCCTTTTTCTCTCACCTCCTGCACCTCCCGCAGGCTGCTCCGCTGCCCCCGGCTGTTGGAGGCGGTACTGCAGGAGTGAATAGTTGACATATCCAGGCTCGCTGGGGCCAAACTCCTGGGATGAGGATGGGGGGGAGGAAGAGCATGAGGAAGAGGAGGCAGGAGACATCCCTTGTTCAGAGGACTGTGGCACACTGTGGCTCCCTCTTGATGTTGACGCTTGTGGTAAAATAGTCCGTCTTTCCTCTTCCTCCCTCCTCTTTTTACAATCTGCCTCCTCCCTCTTTGTCTCTTCATGAATCCCTTTGTCTCCTGGTAACTGCGCTGCCTCCTTCGTCCCATCAGATGGTCTTCTCTCAGCCTGGTCTTCGTCCTCTTTCCCCCCCCCTCCTCCTCCTCCTCCTCCTCCTCCTCCTCCTCCTCCTCCCTGGGCCCTCCTGAAGAGGTCAGCTGCAAACTCTCGTGCTCGAACGGCTGCTTGCGACTGGCTCGGAGATGAGGGAATCGAAGTGGGTCTGCTAGGTGGCGGTCGGCTTTCGGGAGATCCCTGAGGTAGTGAGGAAGAAGAGGCCGAGGATGTGGAGGAAGAAAATGTAGAGCCTTGACTTGACAGAGACGCTCTCTTTGTGTAAAGAATCTGTGATGACTGGCCCTGCTTACCTGCAAAAGAAACATTATGATGTCACATGATGGTAACAGGCAGGGGTTCATGGGAATCAATAACGAGCTGCTTGTGTTCGAGTGTTACCTGGGCAGAGTGAGATGCCGCAGGCCACCAGAGAGTAGCTAGTGTTCAACAGGATGACCTGGTCCTTTTTTAGCTGGAAAGCTGGCTGGAAGGTGGGGAACGGGTACACCACCTGGTACCTGCTGTTGAGCACATAGCCATGCTCCAGACACTCACCACTTCCTGGGGAGAGAAAGGGATGAAGTCAGATTAGAAAGAGAGAGAGATAGGGACAGGAAACAATAAAGTAGTCAATGTGTGAGTATGTGTGTATTAACCTGTGCGTATGGTAGTGGCCGAGGGAACAGGGCAGCAGTAAGAGCAAGGTTTAGGTGGAGGCATGGAGGCAATAGTGATGTAGATGTCTCTGTTGTTTTCATCACTCATCACTAAGTTCATCAGCACGGAGCTTGAACTGCGTGTACTGGCAGGTGGAAGGAAACATCAATTACTCATCATTAGCTAAACATTGCAAAAGAAATAGCCAGATATGCATCAGCTTAATATTGAGATCTTTTTGTGTCCTTACTTGAAGCCAAAGATAACGATTTTGGAGTGGTCATTTGGCCACTCACACACGGTCAGGTAGAGGTCGCTGTAGATTTCCTCTCCTGCAAACAGACGTACATGATGGACCTAAAGACAAAAAACAGAGATGAGATAAAGAAAAGCACATCCGTAAATGAATATGACTTATCCAAGTTCGTCACTTCTAACTCTCAAAGGAGGATGTGGTTTTGCATAGAATTCTGATGGAGTGAGTACGTTTCTTCTCATTTACCTGTTTGAGTCTACTGTGCAGGTTAAACTCCCACCAATAGAGATGGTAGGTATAGAAAGAGAAGTCGTCATCTTCTCCACAGTCGCTGGCGTAGGACAGAACGTAGCGACCGCATTTGGTGAAACCCAGAAACACATGCCTGGAACAAAAAACATCACACAACACTGTAAAACAGGCCTCTGCTTCAATAATACACATACTCGATCCTCAATCTGAGTATAATGGCCACTACTAGATAGGGGTTTTCTAATCCAATAAGTAAATGAAGTGTCAACACGTATTTGTTAATTAAGGGAAAACAAAGCATTGGTATTGGACATAAACTATTGTATTGAGACTGAGTTGTATTGGTGCATCCGTACTAACAGATAATATTCAGAGAGCATGAGCATCAACAATCCTCATTAACACACCATTTGGTTTGAAATGCTTTCAGTTTAACGAAGTGTATTTCTGTCCATTGTATAAGACAAGTTGCATAATGACAACAAACCCATTGAGTAAACACACGCACACACTGACCCTGCTCTCAGGAACTCCTCACTGACGATGTTCTTCAGCGGGACACACACTCGCGGTGGCAGCTTCCTAAAGAGACGCTGAGAAAAATGTCCTGACAGCTGCAGGGCAGGCAACAGAGTAGTTTTAGACAACATAGTCAAATACAAAGTGCATCATCATAACGCATGAAAAGTGTGTATAAAAGATATGGAAATTGCACTAATAATGAAATAGCTTGTCGTTGATACAAAACAAACTCAGCTTCAGTCATAACCCTGCACAGTAACACGCAATGATCTTAATGGCTAGCGTATATACAGTAAACCATTTGCTTATAAATCAAACATACTAACGTGGGTAACGTTATATCTGATGGTTGCATTAATTACTTAATGTGCAATCCGGCACATTTCTGCTGTGGTTTAGCTAGAGCTTTCACGGTTCAATATGAAACCATGTATGAAACGCTGTTGACGGCTAGGCTAGCATGCCAACATGCCTGTAGACTCCTGCTCACACAGGAGTCTACAGGCATGTTAGCAAGCCACACCAAGAGATGTACATATCGAGAAAGGTTGCTTGAAAGCAAGGGGGATATCAGTTTCCATACTTAGCATAGACTAATTAGCCACCTGCCTGCCATTAGATGTTAGCCTTCGAGCTAGTTAGCAGCTAGCTCCAGAACGCTTTAACAACAGCGGTCATACATTCTCTGAACTGCTCTTTCAGTGTTTAATATCACACGTTTTCTGAATGCATGCCTACCTTCCCACGCATGAGAAGCTTCACGACATGGTCTTTGTGTTTTCTTTGAGATTTCTGTTTGCTATCGTCCTTTTCTGATTTCGAGCTGGGCGCCATCTCTCTCTCTCAACTGTAGTAGCTCGCTCCAGTCAGGACTGACGTGATTGGTCCGCAGGCCGCACGAGACAGACCTTATAGACGGTGGACGCATCCATGACGGACGAAACAAAGGTGGAGCACAACAGAGATGACGGCAGGAAGCCCCTACTAAAGCGATGTCTGAATTATACATATATAAATGAATCGGTGTCACTTACAGAATTAAAATGTGTACACATATAGAATCAGTCTGATATCGGGTGTCATGTGATGAGTCTTTAGCATGGTGTTTAAATTGGGAGCGACCAACTCTCAAACACAGGAGTACCACAGAAGAAGAACGAAATGAGGTAAATTTAATGTTTTATTTTAAGTATTTAAAAACAAGCTGTAAAAAATAACATCTAAAAAAAGAGAAGAAAACAAAAACAGCATACAGTAACAGACCTATTGGATCCAAAAAACAAAATCAGACAATAAAGATGGGGAAATTTAACTGAGGGCAGTCAAGCACACAAACATGCACACACAACCAACCTACATTGTGTAGGACAGTTAATGCCTTATTACAGCCAACTTACACACATTTCTGTTCAGTAGCATACACTGTATACAGACACACACAACCCCCTTAAGGAAAGTAATTACAATGAATAAAATTAAAAATAACAAATCAGGACAGCAGGGGAAAATACACCTGCAATATACACTGGGAATGTTAAAAAAAAAGAAGTTAAAAAAGGTACCAAGAAGAAAGAAAAAAATGGTTTAATTTTTCTTACAAACATAATTTCTGAATATATTCAAAATACTGCTAGAACGTTTTTTTTTTTTACCCTCAGGAAATTGTAGGGGAAAAACTACTTAAACGTGAGTCAGTGTCAGGACGCTGTTGTGCTAGCTTGCAAACAAAGATGCTTATCACATTTCACTATTTTTTTTAAATGAGCAAAATTATTACAAGGTGTGGGTGAGGTGAAGGGGCAAACTGAATAGCAACCCAAGTAGTTATTTAGTGCTTTGTTCAATGCATGGGCAAAATGTGATCCCTTTTCTCTTCAATTTTGACTTTAAAAAAACAAGTAGATTGGAATAGAAAATGTCTGGCTGGATGAGAATGGTCTTGTCTTGTCAAAGCCAAAAGAAAATCTCTTGATAGAAAAGACGAACAAGTCCAGAGGGCCATCACAACCTTCAAACAGGCTGAGCCAATCGTTTTACTGGGTCTGAAACGAGGAAAAAACATGTAATTAGTATTGCACATTGCTGTAGGTTTTTCCCTTTGAAAAAGGAAATGAATGCATGTTCTTAAGCTTTTGAAAGCCTGGATGGGTTCAAGTTAAATACTGTTACAGGAATGCTCTTTTAATGGCAACACCACAGGTCATCTCTGAAGATAAAGAATAAATCAACAATATTATTAACAAACACCTGCACTCTACATTTATTCTGTCACAGTATTTTATTCTAAACACAGAAAGGCACGTGTGCAAACATAACTTTGAAAATGAGTTTTAACACATTTTGTACAGTGAATGTTCTCGTCTGGCAATTGTTGAACAAACTGGACCTTGACAGCCACAAAGTCAATTTGTTAGTTTTTCCATGTATTCGTTACCTGTTGTCCCTGCTGTGGAGCACCGCCCTGTCCAGGCCCCTGCCCTGGCTGTCCATAGTAGGCAGCCTGCTGTCTGTAGTACTCGGCCCAGGCTGCACTGTAATCCTGCTGGCCTCCAGCTGCACCCCCGCCTGCTGCTGCTGCCGCCGCCGCCGCCGCTGCTGCCGGGCCCGGAGCAGCTGCAGCCCCTCCAGCTGGCTGGGCTGGAAAAACACAACAAAAAACCCTTAGTACTGGATGCACAGTCATGTACTATTTTCATTTCACAGTATACAACTGAAACACAGTACAGCTGACTATTTAACGTGCAGTACTAAGTAAAGCTCACTTACTCATGCCCATCTTCTTGTAGTACTCCTCCCAGGCTTTAGTATAGTCTGGCTGGCCACCAGAAGCCTGCTGTCCCTGGCCCTGGTCCCCTGGTGCTGCTGCAGCAGGGGCTCCTGGGCTCTGGCCTGCCATGGCACCCCCTGGCTGTTGGCCATAATATTGTGCATAGTATGCTGCCCATGCTGCGTTAGGATCTGCTGCTGCCTTATCTAAGGAGGGGAGGGAGAAAAAGAACCCAGGATTAGCAAACCTTACAAGATAAGCAACTTTTGAGACAAGTACATTGTCAAGATGTGTACAAAATACTGACTGGGGTCATGTTGACCAGGGGCTTGCCACTGCTGGTAGTTACCTCCCCAACCCTGTGGACAGTACTGGGCTCCACCAGGTGCGGCTCCACTGCGAAGAAGGAAGGGACGGTTAAACAAACTGCTTATTTATCAGTCTCCACTGGAGGGAACATTCACAAATCCTGCATTCCAGTATTTGTAGATTGCACTTACTGTGGAGCACCACCTGGAGGCCCTGCATTATAAGGGTTTGGATTAAAGTGACCCATAGGACCACCTGGGCCTCCCGGGCCACCTGGACCACCAGGACCACCAGGACCACCGCCCACAGGACACAATGGAGCCTGGAAACAGGAGAAAAACATTTAAACTAGGAATTAATTCAGAGGATGCATTATCTTTTGAAAACAGCTTGAACTGTGTGTTCCTTCTCTGCTCTGTAAATCACTTGAACGCACCTCAATCTTCTCTTCTATAAGCTGCTTGGCATGGTCAATCTGTTGTGGGGACCCTCGGATGATAAACAGTTTGAAGTTGGGGTCACCGTTTGGTGGCGGCTGACGAGAGATCTCCACAAACGCACCGGTCTGTTGGTTGATGGACTTCACATTCTCTCCTCCTCTGCCAATGACAAGCCCACATTTGTGCGCAGGAATGGAGAAGGTCATCTCTCCTCCCGGAGGGCCCCAGTTGCCCTGGGCTCTGCCTCGTCCCCGCCCACCGGATGGCATCCCTTCACCGGGGGGGCCCTGTGGAGGAAACACTTTACATTAGGTCTTACTGGTCCACGGCCAACTAAAGTTTGGGATTTCTGTCACCAGCTAGAATTAAACACCTACCCCCTGCCCGCCCTCCTCTCGCGCACGGATGCTCTGTAGCAGTTCAGTGATGATCGATGCAGCATGCTGACACTGGTCTGGTGGACCCATAATATGGGCTATTTTATCAGAACCGGTTCCATCATCTGTAAGGAAAGACAAAAGGAAAGGGGGGTTATTAATGGTGGTTTGCACAGGGACTGAAACCAAAAGGAAACTATCCGATCTACAAAAAAAGAAATAGCTTTGGAAAAAAGGCACGATTAAGTTAAGAAAAGTGAAAAAAATATTTTTGTGGGGGAACAAGCTATAGCATCTCTAGTAGTAGTAGTAGACATTTTTTGCAGCACTTTAATTTATAGCAGTTCCATTACATCCCACCTGAGAAATATATGTGGAGAGCTCACCTGGTTTAAACTGAATCTTCACTCCAGCATCGCTCTGGATCTTCTTGATCATCTCCCCACTTCGGCCAATTACAACTCCCACAGAGTGGCGGGGCACAGCTATCTGTAGATTAAAAGATTAATTGTTATCGCTTATAGCGGCACGAAGCAATAGACTCTTATCTATTAATCACATTTATGATAAACTTGCATCACACAATATTCAACAGTCTTTTTATTATGTTTCTTTAGTGCCACTTCTCCGTTATAGTGAGGTTAGGAAAAAGTCTCTGAATACAGAAATCAAAGCTACGACTAACTGCTGAAATTAACGGCGATAACTTACATCAATGCCACCACCGCCGCTGCCGATGCCGCCTCCTCCTCCTCCTCCTCCACCACCACCACCTCCTCCTCCACCACCACCTCCTCCTCCCATCCTTGATCCAAATTCGCTCCGGTCTCCAAATCCGGCATTATCCCTCTCTCGTAGAATCTCATTCACCATGTCCTTTGCTTGCTAAAAAAAAAAGAGCAACAAAACATGCAATGATTTAAAGGGTAAATGGGGGCAGAAAACATTTCCCTAGTCAAAAGGATATATATATAATATACAATACTGAACTTCAACAGTACCTGCACTTTGTAGGGGTCTCCAATGATGCGCAGGGGCTTATCTATGTTGGGTGGCTGGGATCCGTCTTGAATAAGAATCATCTTAACTCCAGCCCGCTCCTAAGATTCAGCAGTAGAGGAATGTAGCATTAATCATCACACGGCAAATGTACCTCATGTCAACAAAAGCATTTGACACAGTTTACAGGTTGCAGTAAGCTTTTAAAATCAGGACCAAACATTTTGCTAAATTCATTCTTTATTCATCTTTCCAATGTCTGTATAGTGGAAGCACTATATGTGGCAATATGAAGGCGTCATTCTTACCTGAAGCTGTTTGATGGTCTCTCCTCCTTTACCGATGATGAGGCCGGCCTTGCCTGCAGGGATGATCATCTCCTGCATGGAACCTCCCCCTCCTCCTCCTCCTCCTCCACCACCACCACCTCCTCCTCCACCACCACCACCACCTCCTCCTCCTCCTCCTCCCGACTGCCCATTGGTCGCACCCTCATGACCCCTCGACACAATGTCATCTATGAGGGCCTTGGCTCTCCTGGAGGTACATTCAAGTGACAAAACAATTGAGAAACAAGGCATAAAAAAAACATGATTATTTGCCCATAATATTGTTTCTTTTTGGTTGGCATTAACGGTGTTATTGAACAGTAGAGAAACCGACAACTGGAGGCGAGGGGTATGACATGACCTGTAGCCATACAGTAACAAATGCGCTCTGGTTCACAGTGTTCAAAATAATTACAGACAGTGCAAGAGTTTAACAGGCAATGTGTTGAATGATATTTTGTTGTGATGTATTTCTGCACGCTGAATGATGGGCATTGCCTAGGTTGGCTCAAATACTGGAAGGCATTGGAATGAGTAGCATTTCCCTTCAAAAGCAGACAAATTACACTTGCATTATGCTGAAAGTGTAGGTAGCTCTTCCAATTTCAATATTCAGTCTCAGAAGTTGAGGCAATCTATGCAGCAATTGTAGCTTAGCGTTGGTAACACAACGTTCAAAGTTGGCCCATCCTCCCCCAGCCGCAACGACAGAAGTGGCTCTTGACCGTGATTGCATCACATACAGTAGCCAAAACCAACCCAAACCCAGGTTTACTCTCATTTTGGAAAAAATTTGGTCCAATTGGCATTTTTTCTGCATCGTCTGGCAATTTTGTAACTTCCCCTTGGATGCGTGCTTGTACATGCTATGGACCTTCACAGACAGTATTTTGGTGATCTAACCCTAACCTCATGAGGGAAATTACTGCCCTAAAGCCAAAACTGTGTAGAAAAAAATTCCCAATAGGGCCATTTGTTACCATTGCATGAAACTAAAAAGAAGAGAGCCCATAGACTCCCAAACTATGTGTTAGAGTTTTAAAATGAGAAATACTTGGGATTTAAATGAAAACAAACTTACTGTATGGCATCTGGAGACCCCGTCAGAGAAACACTTCTATCTGGAAGACCGGCACTGTCTATGAATTGAAAAAAAATAAAATACATATATCAGTCCAGAAGAAAGTGGAAAAAAAATAAAATAATTGGTTGACTTGTTCGGTCATATCTTACCGTGCGCGATCTGGACCTTGCAGCCAGAATCCTGCTGTATTTTGTTAATCTGTTCGCCCCCTCGGCCGATGACTGTAGAGAAAACAAGAAAGACATTTAGATTTTAGTTGGAACAAGTAAAATTCCAGTATCATGTCTATGGTTTAAGAGACAAAGTGCATGTACTTACTGAGCCCCACCATCCCATCAGGCACTCTGAACTCTTCTGTCATTGTGGAGGACCGGACACTGCAGACAATACAAATAAAATAAAAAATTATACGTGAAATATGAAGGACTACATACAAGTCATAGCCACAAGCACCAAATGTGTTTGCAAAAAGGGAAATCTATTTCACTCTATACCTTTGTTGGGACAGGGCAGCCAGCTGAGCTCCAATAGCTGTAAGAGAGAGAACGTTTTGTGTAAAGGAAGGTTGTAAAACTGAGGCGAGGGAGTGTTTTTAGTAGGATCAATGAGAGATTTAACGTACACAATGCAGAATCAATTTCACCCTGTGATGCTACCTTCTTGGCATCGGGTTCATCTGAAAACAGAAGAAAAAGTGAGTCTACAATGTGGACTAAAAATGCAGACAAAGAGCCTGTTTGAGCTGATTTTTACCTGCTTCTTCCAGGGATCGTTTCTGTGATGTGAATGGATAGTTCTCAGTTCCTCCGTTGTTGCTCACTGAAGGAACACCGTCTCCACCAATTTTAGCTGCAATCTAAAAAGACATATGAAATAAATAGTAATTATGAAGAAAGAAAATCTCATTTAAAAAGTGGTACAATGCAGATAAGTATAATCATGAGTGCACTGATGTGGTTATCTGGGCTTGGAGAATACAATTACAATTAAATAAATAAATGTTGTTAGTGGTGTGGAGTCAGAAAGATATGCATTTACAATGCAGGAAGTATCCGAGTGGCATTGTGGGAAATGTAGGATCTAAGTCTTCGTGGAGTTTACGGTGGACTAAAAGTCACGATTTGCGCCAACAATGCATTCACAGAAACTTGAATAAACCGGAAACAATCTATTCGTTAATCAAGCTTCTTGAATGTTAACCTGACTGTGTTTATATGTTTTGCCTGTATGCATATTGCACTAATAGCACTTTGGAATCTTCCTCGAGTAATCGAGTATGATTAAACAATAATCATTCGTTGCAGCCATAAGCTTTATAACTAAAACTATCCGTAAGGTAATGTTAGCTTCACAGTCTTACTCGTCAACGTAAAAGCAATACCCACAGAGCAGTGCAATATCAGTCAATAAATAACCTATTAGCATCCTTTTGTCCATGTAATGCTAGTTATCAATACAATGTGGAAAGCCGGTCCGATTTGCTTATTTCACGACAATCATAATGTGATGCCAATGTTGTTAATTTTTCAATTCACCTAAAATGGCGTTTTACACATGGAGGCTGAAAGTTCCTGACCAGCGCACCGTTAACTAACGTTATAGTTAGGAACCGACCGAGCTAACTTAGCCGAAGCAGCTAGTCCATATAACCCAACCCGGGGATTCCGGTGGGGACAATACATTTTAATTATATTTAGCTAACGTTATACATGATATTAAAGAGCTACCTACGTTTCTGTCGCTACCGAGTTCCCCCAACAAACATTACGACTGACTACACAACCTGGCGAGTGTGTGTAAGACAAATGAATGGTATAGCTACTAGCTAGCTAGCTAGCCAGCTAGCGCGCTCGCTAGTTACCCAAAGCTAACGTCACGGGTAATTAAGCTAGCTGCCGTTTACCACCAGCTAACTACCGTTAGCTCGCAAGCTGTCTGCTCTTCTAGTCGAAGGCTTTATTACCTGTCTGGCTCGTTGTACTGCATCAGCAAAAGCGTCGTTTTTCATCCCAGCACCGACTCCGTTAGTCGGCAGACCGCCGTAATCAGACATGCTGCTCACAAGAGGCAAATAGACACAGGGGGCAGGCTGGGTAGCTTCGGCCGGATCGAGCTGCGCAGAAGCGGGAAGGCTAAACAGGAGCGTACGGGGGACACCAATGTGCGTACCACGCCGTCTTAAAATAGCCAATCAAAGAATCCTAACCCCGCGTCCTTTCTTCTTCTCCTCCAGCATACAGAAACACACCGCCACCTCCTGGGGTGTAGGACCAGTGTAGATCAGGAGCTGTGGAGGGGATTGGGCGGTATTCATGACATTTAGTTTCATAATTGTGTACTTGGCATTACTGATTTATTATGTAGCTAAACACAATGGAATAATATATTAACCACGGAGGTGGAAATTAAGACAGCAGATAAGGGGGCTTGACTACATTATTCAAGTAACTGCATTGTCTAACCAATAATAAAACAATATTATTAATATTCGTTAAGTCATTTTAGCAGATCATTTAATTACTTGTTTATTTATTTGGCTCTTATAGATACTTATGAATGTACAAACTTGTGAAATAAAGCTTTACCAAAAAGATGTGCTCAATCCTATTTGTTAGGAAACCATCAGGTCTCCATGTGAGTTGTGCCTTTTGCCATTCCAGTTGCATTTGCTTATGGTATTGTTAAACTGCAGTCAGAGTAATTGAGTGAATCAATGTGAAATGGACAGGTGTAAGAGCTAAGGATAAGAAATTCCGGCAACAGAAGGCCAACAGGCTGAGCAAAGTGGCAGTCAATGAAAAGGACACAATTTAAACCATGGCACAGTTATGTCATCAGGCTAGCATACAGACAGCTATCACTTCATTTCAGTTCTTCAGATAAAGCTCAGAGGCATTTATTAAACATCAGAAGCACCATGCATGCATTTATTGCCACTTTCCATAATAAATAATGAAACGTATCAAAAATTCATTGGCTTTACATTTCATTCTCAACCTTATGTTTCACGATACATACAAAGCAAACTCGTTGTCATGGTGTTAAACCTGCACATTGTGCGTATACATTATAGTTTTTAAAAATACTTTGTGGCACTGGACCCCGTTGTGTGTTTCAAACAAAGAAACATTTATAAAACATGAGCATTTGCATGAGAGGTTATTATGAATCCTCTACGCTTCTTGATATGGCTTTGGAAGCTCCACTCCAGTAGAATATAATGTCCTCTGTTGTGCTTTTGTTCAGTAGTAATCCTTCCAGGAAAGAGAAGATCGACTTTTTCAGTTGTAATTCAAGAGTTAGGATCAGTCATTTTTGTTGTTGTTTTACACCACATCTGTAGTATTTGTAACATTTGTTTAAGACGTTTCAATCAAAGTCCGGACTCTTTAACTCCACCAATGAGCGGCAACTTCAGGTTTCCCTCGCTTACAGAAGAGGAAGATGAATCAGTCCTCCTAGCAATCCAGTATATTCTCTATCTACTACCTAAGAGGGAAAAAACAATGCTGTAGGAATGTAACATGACTTCCAAATTCGGTACCGGTTTGATCTCAGGCAAGTTCATGCAAGTCTTCATCTGTCAATGCAGTAGCATGAGTTGATTAGCATTCACACCACTTCTGGCATGCGCTGCAACGCAATACATCACACGTGAAACTCGTCACAGCAGCTGCCAGTTTGGGGGCGGTCCAATCTGTGTTTTTTCTCTTTTCCTTTAATGGTTTATCTTTCATATCATCATAGGTCATAGGAGCATGAATCCATCCATAGCCAAGGCCAATTTCCTCATGCATAGCCAACAGATCTGTACGTGCTTTTGTCGAAAGCCACCCCAAACCATCTAAAACCTTTCCTACCCCTTCCCTTTCCCCCCCATCATACCCTCAATGTCCACTCCCAGCATTATTCTTGTGTATTCGTAGACGACGTAGGACACGGTGACAGCAGGGATGACTTTCAGGAGGTTGGGGGAAATTCCACGATAAAGTCCTGCCACTCCCTCTTGGGTCACAATGTTTTGAAGCAAGGCCACCATGGAGGGTTTATCGGCTCCCTTCAATGAAGCTGAGGGAAGAAAAAAAGTTGAGCTCCACCAACACATTCGGTTTTCTCACAACTTGGTTAGCTCAATAAGTACAAAAAGCATAGTGTTGAATTTAATGTTTCATGAAAAGACATGATAAGTCTGGAATTACATAACTGTCTTTTTTCAAAAAAATGATGTACTGAGAAAAAAAACATGGAAACATTAGTTTAACAAAAATGTTTTGATTATTACAATGACATCTTAATAATTTCACAGCATCTTGCAGTCTTCCTGAGTAGAAGGTGTTTGGAGTACAAAGCTCAGAAAATGTGTTTCAGTGAAGATTTGGTCACATTTATTGTATATATTATAAGAATGTCTGCTGAAGGTTTGTAAACCAAGAGTGAGGTATGTCAATCCAATAGCCTGTACAGTATGCCTTGCAAATAGTCAGGGGTAAATTAAAATACACACATGCTTTAATAGTTTAGCTAAATAATAACAGGGGCGTGTTGGGATTTGCCATTTAACATGCTACTAGATACATACAGATGAATAAAAGCATCATATATATGGGTAATTGAGTGGATCTATAGTTGAATAAATTATAAAAACATATAAAAAAAATGAAGAACAAGATCTGAGTAGTTAACAGTCTTTTGACAGTGTGTTGGAGCTGAACTCTGGCCCTCACTACCATCAAATTAGGGAATATATTTTGTAATTTATTCCTCCAGTAGCATTCAAAGGACTTTGAGAATCTATGACATTTCAAGTAATGGAGTATCGCCGTGGCCCGATAAAGTTACTTAGAAATAACCATCCATATCTATTAGTGTGACCACAGTAATCCTGACCTTGTGCCTGCATTCGAGTGCGGATCAATGCCAGAGGGTAACTTGCTAGCTGTCCACAGGTGCTAGAAACGGCACCGCAGCCGACCAGCACCATGACCCCGGGGTCAGCTAAACCCTGGTTCCTGTTCAGCCAGGCAAACTTCAGAGTCTGTGGAGCAGAGGGAGTGAGAAGAAGATACACAGTAATGAGATGCACCGCAACAGCTTTCTGCCCTTAGTGGCATTCTGACCTCATAGACAGCCAGGTCGATGCCGGCGTAAGGGACGATACTCAGCAGGTTGGGTACATAGCCCTTGTACAAAGCTGCTACACCTTCTCTCTGTAGGATGTGTTTGGCACAGTCTGCTATTCCTGAGTATTGGCCTGTCTTTCCTAGTGTTAGACGGGTCTTCAGCACCTGTGTGGAAAAGAGAAGAGATGGAAAGGATATGGCAAGAAAGAGGAACGTTTTTTTCTTCTCGTCATGCATTTTTCTTGACACTACACACAGTATGAATGTTGTTTTAATGTGGTTATTACCCTGATATTACCTCCATTGGGTAGATGGCTGTCTGAGCGGTAGCTCCGGCCAAAGAGCCGGCAACAAACCTCTCATGAAGCCTCAGAGTTCTTGATTCATTTCTGCTACGGATCATTTTCTTGATCTATGAGTTATAGAGGGAAAGATAGATAGAGTAAGGCTAATTTCCAAAGCTTCATCATAGACAGACGACAATATCCTTTCAAATTGATAGAAAATAGATTTAGCAATGTCTTAAGACATCGAAAGACATTTAAGGAAATATGCTTCATTCACTTTTCGAGAAGATTGACACCAATCTCTTTTGTGTGATTAATATGAACAAAACAGACAGCTGTCAATTAGCCTAGCTTAACATAAAGACTGGAGACACGGGGCAACATCTAGCTTGGCTTTGTCCAAACGTAATAAAACAACTCTTATGGACTGAAGCAGAGAGAATAACAAAGAGAATCTGAAGTCACTGCCAAAGCCTGGATAATAGTAAGAGAACATAATTGAGATAGAGATTGAAGATGAATAAATGTTTAGAAGTGTAAAAAAAAATACTAAACATAAGTGAAGGTCTCTCTACCTGTTCATAAGCTGTGAACTTGATAGCAGTTTCTGGAGCAATCTTTAGCACGTTGATTCCATTGCCCCTCCACAGCGACCGCAGTCCTCCTTCTTTGATCATGTACTGAAAACTGCTCAGCACATTCCCTTTAAATTCAATGAAACCATTCACCTGGGAGAACAGAGTCAGAGAAAAAACACTTAACACATCAGCATGAATAGTCCTGTGGTTCAGACTGACCTAAGAGATGAGATCATAACTGCTAACTGACCTGTCGGAAGACTTTGATGCGGTCTAAAGGGGCCGTCCCGGTCCGAGATACACATCCGGCAATGCCTCCGGCCATCAGCTGCCGCCACACATAGCCAGACTTCTTCTCCTCTTCAGTAAATTCATCAGGAACTGTCAGCTGCTCTCCTATATCCAACATCTACTGAACCCGTGGTGAATGGAAAGAGGATCAGAAATTATGATGACAAAGGGGAGAAAGTAAAATAGAAATAGTTTAAGAAAAGGTTGTCTGTCAGTCATAGGCATGACAATCTACTGGAAGGGCCATTTTCCTGGTTTTCTTTGTTGAACTGTATGTTATCATCACTGTTATTATATATTGTGTGTGTGACCTCACCATTGAACGTTTCCAGTAGCGTGCTACGTCCTCCATGTTGGTGAGGGGCTTGAACAGGAAGAAGTCCCGCCACTCATTCCAGTCAATGGTCATGGTACCGTCTTTGTCCATTCTGTGAGACAAACACAGGAATAAATAATGAAAATCATTAGGATCATTCAAGTACCTAATGTGTTACAGAGGAGGGATCAATCATTCAGAAATGGCAATGAGGAATCCTTTAATGTATGAGAAGACATGTCTTGGTTTACCACAATAACCTATCAGAGGAACTGAAAATACAAAACTAAAACTATTATTAAGACATTAAAGCATTAGATGCGCTGCCTACTGTGATTAAACGGAACATTTAGTTCTAAAAATGTGTTATAGTAATCAGCACTTCCTATTCTAGATGAAGGAAAGTTGTGAAAACCCTAGTCTTAGGAAATTAAACATACCCTTAAGAAACAGCATTAGAAAAGAAGACACATCTTCGGAGTCTGTAATTGTGACATTATTTCAAAGAATAATATTAGGGGAAGCAACCAGTTTTAAGAGGAAGTGGCTTTATTGTGTTCACTTTTAAAGAGAGAGAAGCTGAAAGCAGTCCATTATATTACAAACACACTGTCAGTGGAGCCAATATCAAGGTAAGATATATTTAAAACGGCATGACAGCCCAGAAGGAAAAGAACTAGGCTGATGCACACACATTTGTTGTTCTTATTTTAGATCCTAATGTGATGATAAGATATTAATATTTGTGTGCAGACCTTTGCAGAATCCTGGAGGCATTCTTGAGGCTGATTTCCACACCAACGGTGCGAAGAGACTGCTGGATCTCCGCTGCATCAATCTCACCTGCAAATACCCACCAGTCAGACCCAGTTAAAGAAAGAGAGATAATAGCATGGAAAGAAAATATCTCAATGTGAACACTTTGTTATTGTGTCATTAATTATTGTTCAAACTGTTGGCTGCTACACACCGTCATTGTTCTTGTCCAGATTCCTGAACATGAATTTGAGATCTTTTTCATGGGCTCGGAGATACTGCGTGAACTCTTCAAAATCCAGTACTCCATCCTGGTTGGTGTCCCCAGCTTTTACAATCTGAAAACACAAAGAGAAGGGTCAATGAAAAACAAAGCTCTTAGCATTGAACAGATATTTGGTCAAAAAAGTTACAGTTTGCCAGATGGTACGTTTTAAGCACTGCTTAATGCTTAAGTCACAGTAAAAAAAACAATGTGCCCACATGGAACTGGTCAGAGAGTTGCCTGGCCAATTATTTTTACTGAAATAAAAATATATATAATTAAGCCCACCAACACATTCCTAAAAAGATCAGTTTTCACCTCTGATGAAATCCTGTTATTAGATATTTTCAGAAGGTGGTCCCAGACATATATAATTCATTGTCTGACATTCAGTCTAAATTAGTGGTTCCCTAACTGTCTAAGTTGCACAAGTCTACTGGTTGTAGTCAATGCAACCAGAAGGTGAACATTTCCCCCGTTGTATTTGTATCAATTTGCAAGTTTAGAGAAACATCTTTAAGTAACTTTTGTATCAGCTTTAACCAAAATATATTTTGGTTGAAAAAATACAAATTGCAAATAAGAATGTAAACAAAACCAATACAAAATTGTCAAGAAGAAAAGCTGAACAATGATCTATATGTGAAAAGAGATCAAGTGTAGGACCATGGGAAAGGTCGTCATTCTCATCTTACAAAGTCCTCCTTCTTGTACGAAAATAGACAACATGCTGCCCTTTACATGTACACACACACACACACACACACACACACACACACACACACACACACACACACACACACACACACACACACACTAATCTAAAACCTTAACTTTAAAAAAGGTACTTTGTGGCAACATACAATTTGTACCAAGAAGTGTAAACCTGTTGATGTCCCAACAATGTAAGTGATATATATTCACATACACACAAATGCAACATGATGTCAGGGACAGATGTATAAATAGCACGCCAATTTTAAGAGTATTTGACTTGCACTGTTTATGCTTTTTGAGTTTCATTTAGTGACTCATTCTCATTCTTAACTCTTCAGATAGGGAAGGACTCTCATCGTGAATCAGTCAAGGGTTGACTTTTTGTTTAACATAGAAACAAACCCTAGTCTTCTTCTGGGTAAAGTCATGGGTTTGTATGACGCAACCATCAAACCCAGGGTTGTCAAACTCAAATACACAGTGGGCCAAAATTAAAAAATGGGTACTAGTCGAGGGCCGGACTGGTTCAATGTTTATTGCAAAACGTATTGCAATGAACCTATTGCACATATTAAACCTGGAACTAACAAAGCTTAAATGATTGCCTATAAAAACAACATTAAACATGAAATAATCAGTTGCATTCATTTCTTACGGCTCTATCCGCAGCTTTACCGGAGTCATTTCTTATGATTACATTTTTCCACAGGCCAACAACAGCTTCAAAAAAACTATTTCCCTCAAAGAAAAAACCAAACATGTCCTGTTGTCGTGAGAAAAAAGGGCAGAAGGAAACATCCATTGAAACTCAGTTTGCTGCTCTGTGATGCGTTCAAGCAGATACTTGGCATCTCATCTTGGGTGCAAGTTCATCAATGTTTGGGGTCAGGGTCTGAGCTGAGGAAATCCTCAGGGTTGAGTGAAGGTGTGCGTGCAAAATACCGGTGGGCCAGATCTAATGGTAATTAAAAATTATCCTGCGGGCCGAAATTAAATCCACCAAGGGCCTGATTTGGCCCCCGGGCCTTGAGTTTGACACATGTGGCCTAAGCCATTCCAATATTAATTAAGACATTTTATGCCACCTTACATCTGGGATATAAACACCTTTTTCCATAGCTTTACGGCTGTTTGAATGACAACATGCAAAAGAAATGGGAGTAAGTACAGTAAGTCTTCTTACCAAAACAAACTGTTTAAGACAGACTGAGAGTAGACAGAGAGACTGCGTGTATTCACAACAAAAACACATGTACAACAGGTTAAACCACAGAGTTGGTTTAACAATGACCATATCACTAGCAACAAATTATTGCAAAAGTTTGTGTGTGTGAGATGCAGGTGTCATACCCTTTCCACGGAGCGTTTGGAAAGTCCCCTGCCTGCCAGTCCTGTCCGCAGTTCAAGGAGGTCGATGTGTCCATCTTTGTTGACGTCCAGCTCCTCAAACAGCTCTGCCCAGATCTTCTCCCTGTCCTGGTCCGGATCAGGGGGGGTGCTCTCCTGGCAGTGCGCCCAAGGGAACCATGTCCATTGGGGTCTCATAGCTGTTGCCAGTCAGAATCTGCTGATGGGAAACCAGGGCATCAATTTGCACACTCACAATGGACAGTTTTACTACAATGCATGCGCAGAACCAGATATGTTGTCTGTTTTATAACAGAAAACCTGGTGCCTACATTTACCACAATGCAACTGGACTGCAGACAGTTTAGTTGGAGGTTGGGGAGAGTTATACTCCAAGGTTACACTACTGTTGGATACTGTAGACTAAAGGCTCAAGCCCTAAGTAGACATGAGGATAATCCCAGGGGAAGAATCGGTTGAATACATTTTATTATTGCTCTTAAGATGTTTTTGTATTTCCTGTTAAAGGACAATTTCACCTTTTTCGGACAACAATTATTCAACTACCAAACGACCAAAAATATGTCAAGTTTGAATGGACCACAACTAAAGATGTATGTACCATAGAGGGTCATGAACAGACATACACAACTATTTTTTAAGGGGTCATTAGCCAATTCAGTTAGGAAACCACTGATTCAAACTTAATTTTAATATATTTGGTTATGTTTTGCTGGATATACATTTCTGTTATTTGGTCCTGTGATACAGGGAGATGGTGCCAGCAGCCAGCCGGGCACCATAGCCTTCAATTTGTATTACATAGATCTGGATTGTATTAAAAATGTACATAAGGTCTCTCTTCTGTGTCTGCAATCTGAATATTAATTTAAGAAATTATATTATACGATTGTGCAGCCAGAGTTTTTTTATTAAAACATATTTCAAACTCTGTATTTTTGAAAATCTAAGGAATATTTTTGATTTGCCAAACACACAGGGGATTGGAGGAAATAACGGATTAAAGTATTAGGTGTTTCCTATGTATCGATCCTTGCGCAGGTCGATCCACATTCCTACAGTTGCCACGAGCGATTTAGCTTCCCTCTAAAATCATGACGGCGTTAAACTTGTGTCTCACGCTGTTATGTTCGCTGTTATGGTCTTATTCCAAACCCTTGAGAGACCATTTTGTCACACACTCACTGTTATCTCCAAACCGAGCCGCTGCCCATGGTACTGTGCAGGAGAACCCGCGAGTCCGGGGCTCAGTCCACTGTCCTCAAACCGGATTAATGGGAACGGAAAACGAGCAGCTCCGTCAGTATTCAGCAGGTCCCGTGGGTTCTCTGTGTTCGCCACTACTGACCGCTCTGTGGTTTAAATTTCACTCCGAAGTTTGTTGAGAAAGCAGGAAGGGAGAGGCACGCAGCCTCCTCCCCGCAGCGGCTCTTGGCTAAATCAGTGTTTTTCAAAGTGGGGGCCCCGACCCCCCGGGGGGCCGCCAGGGGGCGCCTTGGGGGTCACGCAAAGTTTGAGGGAAGGGGGACATTTTCTTTTTTAAAGAAGTTACATTTAAAAATTTTTTTTTTTTAGATGTTATTAATAACTGCATATCTACCAATCTATGTGTCCTTTGATGCCAATCTTTTTAATCTTTTTTGTTTTTAAATCACACGACCGCCCTTCAAGCCAATCAGAATCGAGCTGCCGCTACTGAGAGTGAAACTGAAGAGGTTTCTCAATACTCTAATTTCCCCTCCTCGACTCCTTTCCTCGACTCCTATCCTCGATACTTAGTCCCGCCCACAGGAGATGCGAGCGGAGGACTGAGGAGGCGAACCGAGGAGAGAGGAGGGGAAGCAGCAGGCGGTTAGAGAAATGAGAACTCCTCTCCTCTGAGCGGTCATTTTAAAGAGACCTCCATTAATGATGACAGGAGGCACAGCAGCCCTCTGTCTGATAGACAGATGTGTTCATGGTGACTTATATATTTACTTTTAATTAATTGACAGTGCGATATAATGAGACAATAACAGGCTACAGATGCGGACATATACACACTCATATATTTATATAAAAATATACAATTTCAGAATCAAACAAGTATGAGAGCACTCTCATAATAACGTAACACAATCAGAGACTGGATATATATCCCCCCTATGGTCGCTGAAATGGGGAATAGAAACTAAACGGTCTTGGAAAAATATCGACTCTTTGTTTGTAGATATCTACTTAACTACAGTATACAAATACAGAGAATAATGTGGGCCTGTTATACTGAGTGATATATATTTTACACACTGCTCTGCTTTCTGCACGGACCTCACAGCTGTTCTCACTGTAAACATCGCGTCGCCGTTACTAAAATAATATCCAGGGGACGCATGCAGAGCTGTCATTGGCTGAGATATAGTGATGCAAACACAGGTATGGTGAAAAAAGAGAGAACTATTCGAAGCAGAAAAAAGCAGCGTAATATACCATCTGACAATGGCCTGTGCTATAATTCTTCAATTAACTGGCTATTCTTTATAATTTACTCAG